TAACATGTCAAATATCTTATAGAACTAAGAAACTTACTAACTTTCTCATAACCAAACAAAGCAGAGAAAAACAAGCAACAAAAACTTTTCTCTTTTTCAATTTAACGAATTAAAATACTCTATTTAAGGATACTTTATTTATGCTTAAATGATTAACTGTTTCTCCATATCATTACTGAAAAACAGTAACTCAAATTGATGCGAAACATATAGATACAGACCAAACATTTCCTATGATTCATCATTCAGAAAAGATATTGCAATAAAAATGTTAACATGATAAAAAACCTCATAAGGAGATTTTCAAAGCACAGTCTGCCGAAAAACAAAAGAAAATATTACTGAACAACAAAGAGAGGAGTAAAAACACCATATTAAAGAATGAAATGAAAACACTGACAAATATTTCCAACTCCGCAGTAATGAATACAAAAAAAAAAGAAAAACCTAAGAAATGAAAAAAGAACAACCTTATACAATGCTATAACAGACTTACATTACGGAGCTGAAGAATGCTTAACTGAAGAATAAAAAATTGCTACTGAAAACATCTTTTTTGAGGTAATTATGGCAGTGTTTTACCCCCCCCCTCCCCCGTAAGATAATAATACCTATAAACATCTTCCGTCTAAATACATCACCTAAACTTGGAAGGTCTCTGAAAAAAACAGCATCAGGTTACAACGGTCGAATTGCACCAATCAACTTTAAGCCATGTTCCCAAATTCCCCCTCCTTACCACTTTTTTTTAACTTAAATTTATCATATATCTTTACAATACTTTCTCACTTGGTTAACAAGTATTTCCTTAACTTGCTCCGCTCCTTTTCTGCCAGACAAAAGCGATTTTTTGATAAACCAGATAACAACAGAAAGCAGGAAGCTACTGGAACACAGTCAGTAAGGTAAACATGTAGAAGAAAAAGAGCTACCTCAAAACTCTTTCTTTCTTATTTTATGATTATGCATGAAGCCAATTAAGAAACGAAAGAGAAGGCTAACAAGCTACATCTAAATAGAAGATCAAAAAAAATTACTGAGTTTGATCATTTCACTTGGTGTTAGAAGCTGAAGTAAATAAAGAGTGCACATATCGGCGAAACGATGATGACAAAGCAACAATAAAAATGACAGAATTTAAGCGCGCTGTTTAATTCGATTTTCGGTGTCTCCCACTCGATCAATACAAACATGAAAAATAATCGTGTTT